CGCTTACTCATGAAAGTGATCATGAGATACTTAAAATCCTCCACTTGGGGATTTGTTCCTGACCCAAAGTGGGCAGTCGACCCGTTTCCAAATGAGGACCCTGGACTTGGACTCTGAGGTGCTGATTCTCTCTCAGCCGTGTCACACTTGCTGCAAACTGCCCCAATGTTGAAGATTGCTTCTCAGTGAAGCCAACAAAACCACATCATCTGCAAAACATAGAAACAAGATCCTGAGGTCACTGAGGCAGACACCGTCCTCCCCTTGGCTGCACCTTAAATCTCTGTCCAATAAAACTATGAACAGAATCATTGAAAAACATCACCCTGGTGGAGTCCATACCCACAAAAATGCAGACCAAGCACTTGCTGTGGTTGTACAGGGGCCTACAAGCCACACCCCCCATGATCCTGAAGCAACCCTGACAGGATGACCAGAGACTAGTGATTGAATGCCTTCTACTGGTTGGACAAACTCTGACGTACCCTCAAATATCACTGAATAGGTAAAAAGCAGGTCCAGCTTTCCAGGACCAGGACCAGGACGAAAAGCACATACTGTAGTTCCTCCAGTATCCGATATCTGAATGAACGACAGACTCCCCTCTGCAGTAAACTGGCACAGACCTTATCAAGGAGGCTGAGAAGCACGATCCCCCTGAAGTTCAAGCCCAATCTCTTCTTGAAGAGGGGAAACTCCACACCAGTCAGCCAATCCAGAAGCAGTGTCCATCCAGCTGGCTAATAAAAACCACACCTCATCTCCTGATGATTTACCTGTCCAATCCTACACGAGCGTTTCTAACATTTTCTGTCTTTGTCAGCACAGGAACCACCTGAGGATTCAGCCTGAAGACTCTCTGCAGTGAGACGGCCCCTGACCCTCAGACTCATCTACATGAGTGTATTTGAAACATATTTTTAATAAACCAAACATTTTGCTTCACAATGGTCCAGTCTTTGTTTCTAAAAGAACCCCTGAAAAGTTCAAATGTGGTGCTTGGATGTAGGTTTCATTTCCACATTTGTTGTTTGTCTGAATCCAAAGCTGAGACTGTTCTGTCTAAATTAAGCCAATCATTTTTATCCTCTTGGTGCCAGAGGATAGCCACTCTACATTAGAGAATTAATGGTCACAAGTAATTGCAAGGTAAAAGACAATATTAATAAATCAAATATATTTATATGTGAAAAATGACTTAAACATATAGATTAATACCATAAAGTCTCTTATAATGAAGAGTGTCGTGGTCCCAGGGGTGAAAGGAGCATTAGGAGCTGTAACCCTGAAACTGTCATGGTCCTTCTGTGCTTCCCCGCCCTTCAGTCTTTCTCTCTGTACAGTGGGGCAAAAAAGTATTTAGTCAGCCACCGATTGTGCAAGTTCCCCCACTTAAAATGATGACAGAGGTCAGTAA